TAGCGTTTGTTGCTTTCCAACCTTGAGGACAAGATCGTTAATAAGAGTGGGGGAATGATACGATTACTTTCTATATTGGTAGATAATGTTCAATTTTATTTTTAGGAGTCAAATGTGCCATTTGTTTTGGCATGATTTAATTTCTTTTTCCGGTAATCATGTTATTTCTGTTGTTGGCTGGTGTTCTAATTATATAAAGGTGTAGATGCCTTATGGCACTTCTATGCAATCAATGAGAATTTGCTTTAATGCTCTAATTGGTTTACTGGAATAGAGTTAGCATTCCCTTAGAATGATGGATGATGGTTCTATTTGCAATATATTTTTCATTACTCTTTTAAATCTACCAAACATGAGAATGAAAATTTTGGTTGAATGATTATTCCATTCTACTCCATTCCATTCCAGTAAACCAAACATTACCTTAGGGTTAAGCTTGATCCCCTCGAGGTGATCTTCTTCTTCTTCTTACTATCCCATTATGTTCCTTCAGTCACTAAAATACCATAGATAGAGCTCTGGTTCTATCATGGTTGAACTCCAGAGATTTGTTAGATCTCAAATTTTGAAATTTAAAATTTAAAAAGTAGTTTAGGGCTTTTTGGGCAAACTGCAAAAGGAGTAAAGGGATCAAATTTCATTTAAACCATGACAAAATTGATATTCAAATATAACATGATTCAATTTAAAGCATCAAAACACATATTAAAACCTACATAGTAATTATGCATAGAGCATCTCCAATACTTCAACTTTTTTTATTCTTCATCAAATTTAAATTTGATGAAGAATAAAAAAAGTTGAAGTATTGGAGATGCTCTATGCATAATTACTATCTAGGTTTTAATATGTGTTTTGATGCTTTAAATTGAATCATGTTATATTTGGATATCAATTTTGTCATAGTTTAAATGAATTTTGATCCCTTTACTCCTTTTGCAGTTTGCCCAAAAAGCCATAAAACTACTTTTTAAATTTTAAATTTCAAAATTTGAGATCTAACAAATCTCGAGAACCATGATAGAACCAAAGCTCTATGTATGGCATTTTAGTGACTGAAGGAACATAATGGGATAGTAAGAAGAAGAAGAAGATCACCTCGAGGGGATCAAGCTTAACCCTAAGGTAATGTTTGGTTTACTGGAATGGAATGGAGTAGAATGGAATAATCATTCAACCAAAATTTTCATTCTCATGTTTGGTAGATTTAAAAGAGTAATGAAAAATATATTGCAAATAGAACCATCATCCATCATTCTAAGGGAATGCTAACTCTATTCCAGTAAACCAATTAGAGCATTAAAGCAAATTCTCATTGATTGCATAGAAGTGCCATAAGGCATCTACACCTTTATATAATTAGAACACCAGCCAACAACAGAAATAACATGATTACCGGAAAAAGAAATTAAATCATGCCAAAACAAATGGCACATTTGACTCCTAAAAATAAAATTGAACATTATCTACCAATATAGAAAGTAATCGTATCATTCCCCCACTCTTATTAACGATCTTGTCCTCAAGGTTGGAAAGCAACAAACGCTAGAAATTTCTCCCTGAGCGAGTGATTCCCAAGTAGCATCCTCAATTGGAAAGTTATTCCACTGAACTAGAACACCCACTCCTGCTTGATTCTTGCGTTTGACTAGTAGTCAATCCAATATAGCGTAGGGTTGTTGGATCTTGGTTTCTTCCGTCAAGGAAATACCTAGTAGTTGCCTTTGAACAACAAGGTGAACTCCAAGCTTCTTTTTCAAACAAGTAACATGGAAAACATGAAGAATCTTAGGCTCTGTTTATTTCAACGTAAAGTATTTTACATCCTATTTTTCAGTGGTTGGCTGTTGTTTGTAAAATATTTTCGTAATACTCAAATTGCACTTTCTCTAACTTGCAATGTGGACATTGAATTCATGCTTGAAGAACCAGTCATTCACCTAGGCTGCCACAAAACCAATGAAGATTGCAAACTGTGGTTTTCCCAACCTTGGGTTTGAGTCTTGCGGGTAAGCCAAAAATGACTTACGAAATTTTGGAACAGAAGTCATTTTTGAGCTTTTCATGAAAGTTATTTTTGTTAAAAAAATGGGTATGAACGAGCCCTGCGGATCGGATTAAAATGGCCATCCCTACCCACTGCCTAAGATAAAACTAGGTCAAAAAGCCCATAAAATTATTCTTCTTTTATTTTTTTACATTTTTAGTTTTTTTCCTAGTAATTTCAATACCCAAACAAGTTGCCCAGAAAATCATTTGAGTCCGATTAACTCTTTTTGTATATTCCCAGAAGCCAAAGGAGAGCAAGCTGGTACATGATTAGATGAACCCATCTGCATGAGAAGAATTGTCTACTGTCTATTGATCTAAGCCAGTCCAATTGGCACTGAAACTCGAATTTCTTGGGAAACAAACAGAAAACTATCGGAAAATTTCCTGTATTGGGCACTTGATGCATCAATAAGGTAGGTATGCACTCAATATCTATTCCTTCAGCATAAGACCATCTCCAACCCTTCACTAATTTTTTTCATCAAATTTGATTCCAAAATTGAGTAAAAAGCTTGATTTGATATGCATTTTCCAATTCTTTCATCCAATTTTTATCAAATTCATTTAAAAAATTCTCCTATTATCCTAAATTTTCCTTTTCATCAAATTTGATGAAAAAAAATCATCTCCAATTTAATCTTTTTAAATTTTCATCAAATTTGAATTTGATGAGTTCTCAATATGATGAAAAAAACGACTCTTCCTTGATTTGGTGAAAGGATTGGAAATGAATTTTGAACACTTTTTAAACAAATTTAAATTTGATGAAGGAAAAAAAAGGTGAAGGATTGGAGATGCTCCAAGCATAATTATGTAGGTTTTAATATGCGTTTTGATGCTTTAAATTGAATCATGTTATATTTGGATATCAATTTTGTCATAGTTTAAATGAATTTTGATCCCTTTACTCCTTTTGCAGTTTGCCCAAAAAGCCATAAAACTACTTTTTAAATTTTAAATTTCAAAATTTGAGATCTAACAAATCTCGAGAACCATGATAGAACCAAAGCTCTATGTATGGCATTTTAGTGACTGAAGGAACATAATGGGATAGTAAGAAGAAGAAGAAGATCACCTCGAGGGGATCAAGCTTAACCCTAAGGTAATGTTTGGTTTACTGGAATGGAATGGAGTAGAATGGAATAATCATTCAACCAAAATTTTCATTCTCATGTTTGGTAGATTTAAAAGAGTAATGAAAAATATATTGCAAATAGAACCATCATCCATCATTCTAAGGGAATGCTAACTCTATTCCAGTAAACCAATTAGAGCATTAAAGCAAATTCTCATTGATTGCATAGAAGTGCCATAAGGCATCTACACCTTTATATAATTAGAACACCAGCCAACAACAGAAATAACATGATTACCGGAAAAAGAAATTAAATCATGCCAAAACAAATGGCACATTTGACTCCTAAAATTGATCATTATCCTACCGATATGGAAAGTAGTCGTATCATTCGCCCACTCTTATTAACAACCTTGTCCTCAAGGTTGGGAAGCAACAAATGCTAGAAATTTCTCCCTGAGCGAGTGATAGGATTCCCAAGTAGCATCCTCAATTGGAAAGTTATTCCACTGAACTAGAACACCCACTCCTGCTTGATTCTTGCGTTTGACTAGTAGTCAATCCAATATAGCGTAGGGTTGTTGGATCTTGGTTTCTTCCGTCAAGGAAATACCTAGTAGTTGCCTTTGAACAACAAGGTGAACTCCAAGCTTCTTTTTCAAACAAGTAACATGGAAAACATGAAGAATCTTAGGCTCTGTTTATTTCAACGTAAAGTATTTTACATCCTATTTTTCAGTGGTTGGCTGTTGTTTGTAAAATATTTTCGTAATACTCAAATTGCACTTTCTCTAACTTGCAATGTGGACATTGAATTCATGCTTGAAGAACCAGTCATTCACCTAGGCTGCCACAAAACCAATGAAGATTGCAAACTGTGGTTTTCCCAACTGTTGAGAGGAGTCTTGCGGGTAAGCCAAAAATGACTTACGAAATTTTGGAACAGAAGTCATTTTTGAGCTTTTCATGAAAGTTATTTTTGTTAAAAAAATATTTTACTTACTTTGTGTCCAACCAAACAAAGCAAAATGAAATATATTTTATGGCCAAAAAACGGAGCCTTAGTGCCTTCAGGAAGGTCTAACTGATGGGCTATAGGTCCTACACACTCAAGCACCTTATAAGGACCATAAAATGTGGCTATAACTTCTAAGAAGAGTGAACTTGTATGGAAACTTGTTTGTAGGGTTGTAGCTGTGAGAATATATTGTATATATGGCATGATTGTATATATGGCATGGTGATGTATATTAGGAATTAGGCGTTAATTAGGCTTATGTATTTCCTTTTTCAGTCATTCCTTGTTCAGCCATAGATTTAGGGCTATATAAATTGATGGATACTTTGTAAACATTTACAATTGAATATACAGAAAAGCTTTCAGGAATCTTACATGGTATCAAAGCTAGGTTCGGAACCCTTGTGCCACTCTACCTCAGCCCTAGCTGATTCGCTTGTCGCCGTCATGGTTCATCTTCACTGGTCGAAGGGTCATCTGTCTTGACTCATTTTTGGTTCTTCTGTGACCCTAATCAACCCTAAGTCGTGACTTCTCTAATTTGTATGGTTCATCACCATCAGCTCTCTCTGGTTCATCTGGTTTGTCACCATTGGAGCCGCTACTTTTCTCTCTCCAGACTCACGTTCGTGTTCACAGCTTCTCGTGAAGGTCTCTCTCTCCATCGGCCTCTCTTCCTCGGCTTCGGCTTCGGCTTCAGATTCTCAATTTCAATTTCTCTCTTTGTGTGATTTGACTTAGATTCTTAGCTTCAGTCTCTGATTCGACTTGGGTATTTCCATTTAAACCCTATTTTATTCTTATTGCACTAAAGCCCTATCCTTGTCTGTTTATTACATTTTTCTGGTTATTATGATGTCTCTGGCTTCGGATAAGTGTGCCTTCTGCCATCAAAGGGGCCATTGGAAGTATCACTGTCCCAAGAAGGGATGTCTGTCTGGCTCATCTTCTCAGCAGTCTCGAACTCAGTTTTGCCCTTCTTCTTTGAGTAATTTTCAGGCTCCCATCACTTATACTGCATCTGCTCCGGCTCTTGATCCTGACTTGGCTTCCTTGAGTACTCAGATTAGTCAGCTTCAGTATATACTGTCTAGCTCCCAGCCATCTCCGTCTGCCTCCATTGTTTCCTCTCTTCATTCAGGTTTGCATGTGTCTTCTTTAGGTATTTCTTCGTCTGTCTGGATTTTTTGACTCTAGCGGCTCTCATCATATGACTCCCCATCATTCCTTCCTTCAAAATTGTACTCCTCCATTTCCTATTATTGTCAATGTTGTTAATGGACCTGGTATGTCTGTTATATCTGTTTGGTCTGTCTTACCGTCTGCTATGTCTGTTGTCTCTATTCCATTTGTCCTTTATGTTCCTCAGTTATCTGATAGTTTATTATGTATCAGTCAATTTGATGCCTCTGGTTTTGATGTTATATTTTCTTCTTCTTATTGTTTTGTGCAGGATCGGATGTCTAAGCAACAGATTGGGACCGGCCGTAGAGTTGGAGACCTCTATGTGGTGGAGAGCTTGCATCTGCCTATGGCAACCTCTCCGACTGCGTTTTTTCCTTTTCAGTTAGATTCTCTGTTTAGTCCTTTCTACTTGTGGCATTCTAGATTAGGGCATTTTTCGGTTGATCACATACGGTCTTTAGCTCAGTCTGGTATATTGGGTAAAGTTTCTCCTAGTGAACTTACTAAATGTCGTGGGTGTAAACTTGCCAAAATGATAGCCTTACCTTTGCGTAAAAGTACTTCTATATCTGATACATCATTTTCTTTAATTCATATTGCTGTTTGGGGCCCTTCTTATGTTCTCACCAAAAGGGGTTCTGCATACTATGTGTCATTTGCTGATGACTACACCCATTATACTTGGGTTTATCTTATGGCTCATAAGTCTGATTTCTATCAGATATACCATACCTTTCAGTCTCTAATTACTACTCAGTTTGGGTCTACAATTAAAGTGTTACGGTCTGACTTGGGTGGCGAATATTTAAAAAATGAGTTCTGTGAGTATTTGACCAATTTGGGTACCATTCACCAAACTTTCTGTACAGATACACCTGCCCAAAATGGTCAAGCTGAGCGTAAACACCGTCATCTCCTTGAGACAGCTAGGTCTCTTCTTCTCTTTGCCTTAATTTCGGCTCTATTCTGGGGGGAGGCAATTCTTACTGCTGCTTTTCTTCTCAACCGCATGCCTACTCCCCTTCTTTTTGGTCAGTCTTCTTATGAGACTTTGTTCTCCCAAACTCCTAACTACTCCCTCCTTCATGTGTTTGGGTCTGCCTGTTTTGTCCGTCTTCCTCGCAAAGACAGGACCAAACTTAGTGTCCAGTCTGTCCTCTGTGTCTTTTTGGTTATAGTCCTACTCGGAAAGGCTATCGGTGTTACAACCCTGTTTCCCATCGTTTTTATGTCTCCCGTCATGTTTCTTTTCTTGAACGCTTACTTTACTTTCAGCTTCCTCCTCTCACCGCCCCAATTTCCAAAGAAGATTTGGTTCACATTGATCCGTTTTCTTCTAAGGTCCTATCTGTTAAGTACATCTCCACAATTCCTCCTGAGCTTGTTCCATCTTCTCCTCCTGCTTCACCTCTGGTTGCTTCTCCTCCTTTGGTTTCTTCTTCCCCTCTATTGTTGGTCTATTCTCGTTGCCAGGCTCTTCTACCACCAGTTGTCTCTACTCCTATTGCTGCTATTTCTGCTTCTGACGACTCAGATCCTCCTGATCACCGATATCCTACTCGTCAATGTCGTCCTCCAAACAGGTTGGGTTAGTCTAATACATATTTTTTTGCTTCCTATCATACTTTTTTGTCTGTTATTCATTCTTTTTCAGAACCTCAGTCTTACACGGAGGCCTATCAGGATCCTAATTGGGTTCAAGTTACGGAGAATAAGTTGTTTGCCTTGCAAAAGACTAACACTTGGGAGTTGGTTCCTTTACCTGCTGGCAAGAATCTGGTTGGTTGCAAATGGGTCTATAAAGTCAAGACTCATTCTGATGGTTCTCTAGAGCGATACAAAGCTCGCTTGATTGCAAAGGGTTTCTCGCAGGAGTATGGTATTAATTATGAGGAGACATTTGCCCCTGTTGCCAAGATGACTACTATCCGTACCTTAATTTCTATTACTGTTGTTCGACATTGGCCTCTTTATCAGATGGACATTAAGAATGCTTTTCTTAACAGTCATCTCACTGAGAAAGTCTACATGCATCCTCCATCTAGCCTTCTCCACTCCTCTGGGCAGGTTTTTCATCTTCGGCGTGCTTTGTATGGTTTGAAGAAATCTCCTCGTACTTGGAATGATCGCTTTCAGACTACTGTTACTGAGCTTGGGTTTCTTCCTTCTGCTTCCAACTTTGCTTTGTTTTTGAGACATACCTCGGTTGGTTTTGTTGCTCTCTTACTCTATGTGGATGATATGATCATCACTGGCTCTGACTCTTCTGCTATCTCTGAGGTCAAGTAACATCTCTTTCGCACCTTCGAAATGAAGGATCTGAATCCATTGCGGTATTTTCTTGGTAAAAGATTGCCTCTTCGCCAAAGGGCTATTTCCTGTCTCAGGCAAAATTTGCTAATGAGGTTATTCATCATGCCGATCGTACTGATACTAAGGTTTTTGATACCCCTATCGAGCTTAATGTGAAGCTTAACTCTACTGATGGTGTCCCCCTCAATGATCTCACGATCTATTGTGAACTTGTGGATTGTTTAGTTTATTTGACTGTGACTCGTCCTGATCTTGCTTATGCTGTTTATGTGGTTAGTCAATTCGTTTCTGCTCCTCGCTCTACCTATTGGGCTGCTTTGGTTTGCATTCTTCGCTATCTCCGGGGTACCATCTTTCAGGGCTTACTGTTGTCCTCTACTTCCTCTTTAGACTTAGTGGCCTATGCTGATTCTGATTGGGCTGGTGATGTTAATGATCGCAAGTCCAGCTCTAGTTTCTGTATGTTTCTTGGCGATTCCCTGATCTCTTGGAAAAGCAAGAAACAAACTGTTATTGCTTGCTCTACTGCCAAAGCTAAGTACCGTGCTATGGCTCATGCTACTGCTGAGCTTGTTTGGCTTCGATGTCTTCTCTCTGATTTGGGTGTACCTCATTCTTCTCCGACCTCTCTCTATTGTGACAACCGCAGTGTTGTTCAGATTACCCACAATACTGTTTTCCATGAACGGACAAAACACATTGAGACTGATTGTCTCTTTGTCCGACAACATCTGCAATCTGGCTCTCTCTCGCTTCCCTTCGTCTCCTCGGCTTTGCAACTTGCGGACTTCTTCACCAAGACTCACACTACCGCTCGGTTTCAGTTTCTTCTTAGCATACTCTCAATGTTTTCTACTGAAACACCTTGAGTTTGAGCGAGGGTGTGAGAATATATTGTATATATGGCATGATTGTATATATGGCATAGTGATGTATATTAGGAATTAGGAGTATGTATTTCCTTTTACAGTCATTCCTTGTTCAGCCATAGATTTAGGGCTATATAAACTAATGAATACTTTGTAAACGTTTACAATTGAATATACAGAAAACCTTTCAGGAATCTTACAGTAGCCGCAAATAGACCCGATCTCCTACCACAAACTCCCTTTTTGTTCTACGCTCGTCTGCTTGTTGCTTCATTCAGGACTGAGCTTGATGTAGATTATTTTTTGAGAAGTTGCAAAAGGCCATCTCTTTCTTTTAGATCACAATCTACCTCAAATGGAGTTTGTTTGGTAGTTGAATGATAGGTACTGTTATACCACCATTCTACCCATGAAAGCCAGCAAACCCAATTCTTTGGTTAATCACCTGTAAAGCACATCAAATAATCCTCTAAGGCACTGGTTAAACACCTCTGTCTCTGGCCATCTGTCTGTGGGTAAGATGGTCCACAACCACAAATATCACATTCTTCCCTTGTAGCAGTCTAGGGTTGCTACTCTTTCTGCTATATTTCTCTAGCACGTGTCACATTCTTGTACAAAACGTTTAACCTCCTTCCGCATCCCTTTCCAGTAAAAGACATGAGAGAGTCATTTGTAAGTGAAAAAGTAGCCTGAATGTCCAGCAGAGGAAGATATATGGAACTCGTAAAGTAATAATGACTTTTGGGGAGAATTAGCAACCAATACAATTCGGCCTTTATACCTAAGGTCCTTCCTTGCCATCCCAAGTGTAGTGCGGGACAATATTAGGGTCTTTATGCAATTTGATTATCAAAGCTGTTATCGCCACCAAATCAGCTTGTTCAGGAAGTTGAGAAAGAGCATCAGCAACAACAATCTTTGTCTACTTCTTGTAAATAATCTCATAGTCATACCCAGTAATTTAGAGACCCATTTTTGTTGCTCCATAGATGAGATCTGTTGTTTCAAAATATATTTAATGCTTTTATGATCGGTCTGTATTTGAAAATGGTGGCTAATAAGGTAAGGCCTATTTTGTCTCACTGCATGACTATAGCCCTCTTCTCCTTGTCATATATTGGCATCTGTTGATGAAGTGGCGATAATGCCTTGCTAGTGAATGCTACAGCTTGACCCTTCTGGATTAGAACTCTGCCAATTCCCACTCCACAAGCATCACACTCTACCACAAAGAGTTAAAGGAAATCTGGTAGAGCAAGGACAGGAGCAGACGTCATAGCGTCCTTCAATTTGACAAAGGCAGCTTCAGCATCTGGCCCCCAATTAAATGCATCCTTTTGTGACAAGGTTTTTAAAGGTGCATTAATGTTTTCATAGTCCTTGACAAATTTCCTGTAATAGTCAGTTAAGCCAAGAAATCCACGTAGTGCCCAAACATGTTTTGGTGTAGGGCTCTCAACCATAGTCTTTATTTTTGAAGGGTCTACTTCTACCCCATCCTCGGAGATAATATGACCAAGATACTCTACTCGAGGTTGTCCAAAGCTGCATTTAGACTCCTTCACAAATAAAGAATTCTCCTGAAGGAGGGTGAATGCAATACGCAGATGACATTTATGTTCCTTCTACTAAAATGAACTATAAATGAGAATATCGTCAAAGAATCACCAGAGGAAGTTTCCGACAACCAGAGATGGTGACTGGTTGAGGTGGCCAAATGTGGTTCATGACAGTTGGAGATGATGGCCAAAGGTGTTTTTCAGCTGAAGTGGTGGCCGGATATGGTTTCTGTCCAAAGTTCGCCACATAGACAACTATGGTCAGAGGTGAGGGTGGTCAGTGGGTGGTGTCTAGAGGGAGTAAAAGATGAAGGAGTAAAGTTTTCTAAACAAGTGAAAATAACATTTTGCTTTTGTTACAATAATTTTATAAACTATTTACATTTTTTTTAAAATGGAAATAAGTAAATTAGTTTTTGTTTATAGTTTTTAAACTTCTGTAAATCGAAGCAAAAAATATTGATATAAATGTTACCAAATGGGCCTTTATTGATTCGGATAACCAATGCACTGCCTATTTATTTGTGTAAGAACTGAGCAACTTATTATTAGAATATCTTATGTTATGCAGCAGATGTTTTTGTTGTCTTTGTTCTTTTGGCTGTTCTGTTCCTGAACAGACAAGGTACTTTGGTACTGTTACTAGCTGCTCAAATATTTTATTTTTTTCAAAAAAAAAAACCACGCATTGTCTATAGTACATTGACTTGATATTCTTCTAGTACTGACTGCTCAAGTATTGTTTTTGGTAAAAGAATTGATGTCATACTTGACATGAGTATGAATTAAAGATGGTGTACCTTTTAGTTCTGCTCTTTGTCCATCCCTGCTGTTATTTTATCTAATTATTATTATTATTATTATTTTACCTTTTTTGTTACAGGCTCTGAGATTCTTGATGGCTGAAACAATAGCTATTGTAGGAGCAGTTTCCGGTGCAGTAAGGACAGCAGCAGGAGTGGCCCAAGCTGCTTCTCAAGCTAAGCTGATATTTTGGGATCCACCCACGGACAAAGTGAAGGAGATTCATGATACTTTAAATGCAGCAATACACGCACTCAGTTCTATAAGGAAGGATTACATGAATGAAGTCAAGAGAAACAAGATGAAGCCGCCATCTGAAACTTACATGGAATGGATCAACAGGGCGGTGGAGATTGAGAAACAAGTGAAATTTTCAGCAGATGAATATGGAAAACATAGCAAAGAAGAGTCACCTTTTTGGTTTCCTTCATCCTTATATTTCAAAGAAGAGATGATAAAGATGTACAAGGAAGTTACCAATCTTCTAAATGAAGGCAACCAAATCAGAAATAAAATTCTGGTTGATCAACCACCAGAAATTGTAGTGGAGAAGAAGGGACCAGATATCAACAAATTTGAAACACTTCAAAAGCCACTAGAGCAGATACTAGATTTGCTGGAAAAAGATTATGTTAAGGGGATCAGAATCCATGGAATAGTGGGTATTGGGAAAACAACCATAATGCTCAACTTGAATAACCATGAACGAGTTGCCAAAAAGTTTGACATAGTCATATGGCTCACAGTATCAAAAGAGAGGGGTAAGAAAAATTTGAGCCGGGAGCATCTTCAACAGGCTATTGTGCAAAGAAGGGAAATAAAGATGGAAAGTGATAGCAATGCTGACAAAGTTGCTAGAAGAATATTCAAGGAGTTAAGGGCATGAAATACTATCTACTTTTGGATGATGTCAAGGAAGATCTCAATTTGAATGAAATTGGGATTCTTGAAAGCAACAATAGCTGCAAGATAGTATTAACAACTAGGCTGCGTCAATGGTGGATAGGGTGATTAAGGTGACATATTTATCTCTAGATGAGGCATGGAAGATGTTACAAGATGTTTTAGGAAGCCCAAACTTATTGCAAATCAAAAAATTTGGAAACTTGCCTGGCGAGTTTCCAAAGAGTGTAGTGGACTTCCACTCTTGATAGAGAAAGTAGGAAATACTTTCAAATTGAAAAACACCGAGTACCTTTGGAGTGATTAATTGAATAGTTGGAGGATGTGGCCTGAAAAATAATGTCAAGGCATCAGGGAAATGTATAAATTGTTGAAATTTTGTTATGACGAGTTGGATGATGACACGTATAAGAATGCTTTCTTTATGGTGCATTATATCATGAAGATAGTGACATCAACACAAATTATTTGTTGGACTGTTGGGCAGCTGAAGATCTCCTTGGCAATGATGATTGCGCAACAAAGGAGTCTATCATGATTGGACATTTAATATTGAGTAGCCTTAAGAATGTGTCATTACTTGAGGAAGGTAAGAATGATAACCGTGTTACAATGGACAAATTCATCCAACAAGTAGCCTTATATATATCAGAAGGTGAACTTGATTGTAAATATCTGGTGAAATCGAGCACAACATTACAATAGCCCCCAGATGAAAAATCTTGGAGTGAGAAGAAAAGGATCTCATTGGTTGACAATAAGTTGGATTGGTTACCAGATTCCCCCAATTGTAGTTTTCTTTCCACTCTCTTCCTACAAAAGAATTCGGCTCTCAACATGATCCCTGCATTATTCTTTGAGCATATGAAAAATCTTCAAGTTTTGGATTTATCTGATACAAGAATCAAATTGTTACTATCATCTCTTTTAATCTTGATCCGACTCAAAATCCTTTATCTAAATAATTGCAAACATTTGGTGGAGCTCCCTTCTGACATTATATAGAGCTTGTACATCTTGAAGCACTTGATATTTAGGGGAGTCTAAGAAGCACGGACACAGACACGCGACATGACACGGATACGACACGGACATGCCGACAGGCTAATTTTGTATACACCCCATTTTTGACGGCCCTTACGACTTGGACACCATAGCATGCACACCTGATGATGAGTCTGTTTGCTCGCCAAGTGCTCGAAGTCTTCAGCAGAATGCCACAACTTTGAGCCTTGCAAACCCTGATAGCTTTTCAAACCCAGTTTTGGACCAAGCCTATCTTTTTCAGTCTGCAACCTCTGGTGACCTACCGGCCACTACTAGAGACTTGCCGGCCATCACTTTTTGCTTGCTGACCTGGTGCCGGCCACTGATATGGCTTGCTGGCCACTAGTGATGGACGGCCAGCCACTAGTGTATTTTGTAAATATTTTATGCCAGTTGTGCCAACTGTTTGCGCAGATGCATGCATTTTCACCCGCATGTAGGGCTGGATCTCTATGAGGGAATTTCATGTTTTCTATATATAGGGACCCCCTCTCTCTTGTAGCAAGGTTAAAAATTTTTGAACTCAAAAATTTCCTCTCTTTACAATTCTCTCTCTCTACAAATTCTCTACCCTTTTGCCTACAATTCCTTAACCTTTGCCTATACACCCTTAACCAAATCTCACTATCTTTGAGCTGAGGTATTTTTTAGCTTGGTTTGAGCTCTAGAGGGTATTGTTTGCTTGGTTTTGTTGCTTGGAGTTGCCTTTCTCTTCAAAGGTATAAGGCTTTGCTTGTAGCTTTGTTTTATTTGCTTATATTCCTACTATTTTTCCATTGTTTTGGGTTGTCAAAACTTTGTGTTTTTTGGGCTGAAGCTTGGGTTTAAGGCCATTAAAGGTTGAGGGGTTAATAGCCCTTCTTTGTACCTAGTTTTGGAGGCCTTTGCCCTTGTGTTTCCCACCCTTTTACTACCTTTTTTCAAGCTTTTAAACACTAATTTTCAGAGCTATTTCAGTGGCCAAAATCATGTTTTGAAATCCAAATTTGGAGGGTTAGCCTCTCCTCCTTGTGTCTTGCTTAGTAGCCTAGGTTGTGCCATGTTTTAGCATTTTAATCTAGCTTGTTGTAGCTCAATTCCAGCATGTTTTAGGACATCTTTTAGCCTGCTTTAGCACTATTTTGGGCTGTAGTTTGCATTTAAGCTTTGTTTTGCATGCTTCTAGTGTAATAGTCCTCATAAGCTTGATGCTTTAGGTCTTAACCAAACCAAACCAAACCAAACCAAACCAAGCCTTAAGTCCCATCAAATGGGATCGGCTACATGAATCCTTCTTCTCCACGCGGCCCTATCAAAGGTCATTTCATTAGTCAAATTAAGTAGATTCATATCTCTATTTATAACGCTAGTCAACGTTAATCTAGGCCTACTCCGTCCCCTAACACTTCCATCTACCGTTACAGCATCGCATCTCTTCATTACTGCCTCTATTGGTCTCCGTTGAATATGACCAAACCATCTCAAACGATTCTCTCTCAACTTATCTTCTATCGGTGCTACTCTTACCCATTCCCGAATATACTCATTCCTAATCCTGTCTTGTCTAGTCTTACCACACATCCTCATCAGCATCCTCATCTCAGCTACACTCATCTTATCTACATGTTGTTTCTTGGTTGCCCAACACTCTATCCCATACAACATAGTTGGTCTAATAGCCGTTCTATAAAACTTACCTTTTAGTCTAGTGGGTATTCGTTTATCGCACAATACCCCAAACGCACTTCTCCACTTACACCATCCCGCCTTAATCCTATGGGCCACATCTGCATCAATCTTTCCCGCTGTTATGATAATCGACCCTAAATAACGAAAATGTTCACTCTTAGGCAGTTCTTGGTTCTCAATCTTCACTTCTCCTCTGCTTTCATGGTTACTGTTACTAAATTTACACTCCATGTACTCTGTCTTAGTTCTGCTTATCCGGAATCCTTTAGATTCAAGAGCTTTTCTCCAAATCTCCAACTTTGTGTTAACTCCTTTTCTAATCTCATCCACTAACACAATATCGTCTGCAAAAAGCATACACCATGGCACGTCATCTTGAATATTTATCGTCAACTCGTCCATAACTAAAACAAAAGGATAAGGACTTAAAGTAGATCCTTGGTGTAACCCTACAGTGATAGGAAATTCATTTGTCTCTCCAGCTGGCGATCTAATAGTGGTCACCACCCCTTCATACATGTCCCTAATCACGTCAATGTAGCCTTTTGTCACCCCTTTCTTCCCTAACACCCACCATATTATATCTAGGGGCACTCTGTCATATGTTTTCTCAAGGTCGATAAACACCATATGAATATCTCTTTTCTTTTCTTTATACTTTTCTATTACTCTCCTCAAAAGATAGATTGCTTCCATTGTTGACCTACCAGGCATAAACCCAAATTGATTCTCTGACATCTCTGTTATGTCTCGCAATCGGCGTTCCATCACCCTCTCCCACACTTTCATTATATGACACATTAGCTTGATTCCTCTATAGTTGTTACAATTCTGGACATCACCTTTATTCTTATAGATTGGCACTAAAATACTCTTCCTCCACTCATCTGGCATGTTCCTAGTCAACAAAATTTTGCTAAACAACCTAGTCAACCAAGCAACTCCCTTTTTACCCAAACACTTCCAAGCTTCAATAGGGATATCATCGGGTCCTAAAGCCTTATTTGATTTCATCTTCTTAAGTGCAATCTCCACTTCAAAGTTCCTAATCCTGCGATAGAACCTATAGTCTTAGTTTATCGTATCACTAGCTATTTCTTCCCCTATTGTCGTACTTCCATGTTCCTCATTTAATAGTTTCTCAAAATAATTCTTCCATCTTTCCTTAATCTCATCATCCTTCACCAATACCTTAGAATCCTCACTCTTGATGCACTTTACTTGATTAAAATCTCTTGTTTTCCTCTCCCGTATCTTAGCAAGTTTGTATACCCTCTTCTTTCCCTCCTTACTATCTAGTCTAGTGTATGGGTCATCATAAGCTTTCAACTTAGTCTCTCTCACTACTTTCTTGACCTCCTTATTAGCCAATCTATAGCTCTTAAGGTTTTCCTCAGTTCTATCATTCTGTCACTTTTTATAGCACTCTTTTTTTGCCTTAACTACCGCTTGAACCTCTTCCCTCCACCACCAAGTTTCCCTAGAGTTGGGTCCCGTTCCTTTCGACTCTCCAAGCACTTCCCTTGAGATTCTCCTCATACAATTGGCCATCAAATTCCACATAGTGTTAGCATCACCTTCTAAGTCTCAAGTACCTTCCTTATCCATTCGATTCTTAAATATTTCTAGTTTATCCCATTTTAGGTCCTACCATCTCGTCTTACGACGCCCACCATCCTTCGTAGCTTGGTGTTGCCCTCTAAAACATAAATCTAGTACCAAAATCCTATGTTGAGAGACCAGACTCTCTCCAGGAATCACCTTACAATCATTGCATTTTAGCAGTCCACTTTTCTCACTAAGAAGTAATCTATTTGGTTCTTAACTAATCCACTCTTAAAGGTTATCAAATGCTCTTCCCTCTTCTTATACATAGTATTGGCCACCACCAGGTCAGAAGCCAACGCAAAATCTAAGATTCTCTCTCCAGCCTCATTTCTGTCACCAAAACCGTATCCACCATGCACCCTTTCATAACCTAGTTTATCTATGCCCACATGGCCATTAAAATCTCCACCTATAACCAGGTTCCCTCCTACGGGTATCTCTTGTAAGATCTCATCCATTTGCTCCCAAAAATCCCTTTTAGTCTGATCATCTAACCCTACTTGAGGGGCGTAAGCGCTAATAATGTTCACTACATTCCCTCCAATAACTAGTTTAACTAGCATAATCCTATCTCATTTCCTACTGACTGCCACCACACTTTCCACAAGACCCTTGGCAATTATGATTCCTACCCCATTCCTGTGTCTATCCTTACCACTATAATAAAGTTTAAAACCAGTATCCTCAATTTCCCTAGCTTTCTCTCCCGTCCACTTAGTTTCTTGTATGCAAGCTATACTAACTCTCCTCCTAATCATAACATCTACCAATTCCATCGTCCTACCAGTTAAGGTTCCTATGTTTCAAGTGGCTACCCTAAACCTATAGTCTTGGACTAGCTTCTTTACCCGCGCTCGTCCAGAAAAACGCGGAAACCTTTGCCCATTTTTCACTGCACCCAGGCGTCGATGTGGCGCCCCTTGCTCACTTTCCGAAACACCCGGAGGCAGGCGCAACACATCACTTGAGGGGAACGACCTAGCATTTAAACGATTCAAAGTAGGATTCATTTTCATAAGGGATCCGAGCGGCTTTTTTACGTGTTGGCTGTCGGCTACCTAACACACAACCCTCCTCCTTAACCCGGGCTTGGCTTTTTATACTTCATTTCAGCATTAATAATCTCTGCAACCTCCCTCCTTTCTTGGCTTTTAATTTTGTTTTGAAAGTGGTTTCAAGTCACTTGCTTGCCCAAGTATGAAATTGAGATTTCATACTTAATGGTTTAATCCCTTAGGGGGTTCATTACCAATGGTATGATGCTTCTTTCATACCCAAAGCAACTTGTGTTTTAAGCCCTCTTTCCATTAGAGAACTTTAATTTACCTTTTGGACTTATTTGGATTAAAGAATAGTTGATAAATTAAAATGAATAATTAAAAGTTGAAAACTAAAATTGTGCAAAGATAAGAATTTGATTGTATCTTGGTGTGTTCAATCGGACGTAAATTGAACACATGGAAGCTTGAACCATTTCATACTTACTAATGATGAAATGATTCAAGTCTCCAAGGTCAACTTCTTCCCTTGATCATTCATGAAAGGGAGGAAGTTCGTGTCTTGTTTTGCATTTATTGACCTTGCACACTTGGTTTCACAAGCCATCATGCAATGAAATTGCACCCATTGATGGTTTGCGAACCAAAGCTTGCTACTTCTTTGATTTTTCCATGAAAATGAGGGGTAGGTTTTGCAAACAAACCCTTGAAATGCCCTGTATATGCTCTGTTTGTTCTCTGTTGCAGCAAGATGAACCTGTGCGTTAGTGGCCTGTAGGCCACTTTCCATGGCCAGCAAACCACCATCCATGGCCGGCAACCTTCAACCATGGCCGACTGGTGGCCGACAACCTTTACCCGTGGCCAGCCAGCCACTGATGCAAAATTCAGCAGAGTGTTGGTAAGGCAGAGCAGAGTAAGCAGCAGTGTTAGTGTTCAACTGTGCAAACAGAGGCATTCGGAAGCAAAACGGTGGTCTTTTCGGGTGGAAACCGAGCATGCGCATGCACATCTTTTGTTTCACGAGGCATAGTAGTTAGTTGTTTAGTTTAATCATTAATTGCACTTGTGTTGTAATTATTTAATTAGTTAGTTAACTAGTTAATTAATTCAAGTGTTGTAATAATTAGTTAAGTAGTTTAGCTATTTATTCGGTTTGTAATAATTAGTTAGCTTAATTAGCTTAGCTTAGTAGTTTAGCTTAGCTAGTTTAGTCTTCGGACCCTCCTGCGCGAGGGCATCAATGTTGTAATAATGTGTATGTCTTCCAA